AGTCAAATATTACATAACAGAGAACAAAGTTCTTCCTTATTCATGTCAGACATGCCATGGTGCTCTCCTCATATGTTTCTTCCATTTTCATTGCTTCAGCGTGTGTTAAGTTTCTTGGCATTATCCAATAATATGTGGGTCATTCTTGAATGTCAGACTCTAGAACCATGCCTGAGGACAGTTTTGTCAGCAGTGTAAGTGGCCAGTGGGGGTGGAAGGCTTGAGGAAATGTCACAATATGCTGGGTCAGACCAGTGTCTCCAGGGCCTAGTGGAGGAGCAGGTTAGCCAGCACAGCAAGGTCCACAGCAAAAATACATGATAGAAAAAAAGCAGATTGCTGTTTGGGGTCTTAAGTTTTCTTCTAGTGTAATTTGATGGCAATTTTGTATTGATATATTTTTGGAAATGTAACTTGTTATATATTGACTATAAATGTCATTTAATTTCAAAATTATTAAAATATATATTTAAAAATATTATTTTGATTTTTCTGAATATATGTATTTCTAAAAATCACTACAGTCGAACACCGTTGTGTCGAACTCTGATATCTCGGTTGTCTTGATATAATTTCTCGGTCCCGGCAAAATTCTCATTATTTATCATTATTTGAACCCTTTCAACTCGATACGGATGTCTCGATATTTCGGATATCCCGATATGATTTCATGGTCCTGACAAGCAAAATTACCCTTTTAACTCGATATTTGCACGTAAAGTCGATATACACCTACCTTTCTCGGGCAAGTATCCATCTGAACTGTGACTGTCTCCATGTGTTTACACACATGCTGCGGCATGAATCAAAGGTAGCGGTAGTGTAAGCTAATTAAGGCTAATAGTGTTGTAGGTGTCACTTGTTTGTTTATCTAACTAGGATGAACTCCCAATTTCAACTTAACACTCCTGATAACGGATTATAGTATCGAATCAAAACATAGTGAGAGTCTAATCAGGGACTTGTGTCATCACGTGACAAGCAATTGATTGTTGGGTTGTTACTAAATTGCCGACTGAGAAATGCGGATTAGGAGTCAATTAAACGCTATTGTGTTGTGGGGCTATAAAATGATACCAAATGGTAAATAATAGACATGCAATCTACTGTTTTCTTTTGTTTTCTTTCATTTCTTTCATGTTGGTATGTGATGATATGCCCAACTCTGATGTGTCGATATTCGGATAAGTCGATAGTTTTTCCTGGTCCCGTAAATATCGAGTCAACGGTGTTCGACTGTATATAGACTTACAATTAATAGATTTAATGCTGGACATGAACTGGGCTGATCCATTAAATGTTTAGAATTGAATTTGCTCTTTTTTCATTCGTTTTAATTTTTGAAGTCTCAATAGATATGACTGATTACTGGCAGTAAATATACATTTCATATTGATTGCTCATAAAAATGTATTTATACAGCATCAACTTTCAAAATTTGTTGATAAATCAATAAACAATGACATTCGTAGGATCTTGGCTGTGATGTCTTAGTGGCCCATCTATGGTACATATCAATGGTATGCCCATGATATATCCTATATCAAATGTTGTATTTTCATGCCATAACCTCTTTGATTGATATTTAAATGTTAAACACGACATATAGCAGTTTGTCCCATTCATATAGCATATATCACTATTACAAAATAAGTGCAAGACAAATGATATGCCAATGTTTGCTACTAAATTTGGACATATGTTTTGAACCTCAATTTTCTCACCATGCTCTCAATCACAATGGCAACTGTTTGTACTGTACAGATGCTGTAAGTCATTCCAATGTATTTCACACAATAATAGCTGTATGATAGTTCATCAACAATACCATAACCTGGTAAATATAGCTTAGTGGTTCGTGGGTAGCTGAATGGCTAATGGGTTAGCCCATTACGATGGTGAGAACAGGTTCTAACCCCCACATGGAGTTTAATATCTGAAGCCAGTTCCTAGCGATTTTATTTAAATAGTTCATAACACTTCAGGGAACCTGACTCTATAACAATGAATATTGCATAGTCTTGATTCCTTTTATGTTATTTTTTAATGACAAAGTACATAATGTTTTCAAAAATAATGTTTCTATCCCACTTGAGTGAATCACCACTTTTTACAAGAAGTTGCCTGAACATTGATATATGATATAGTTTTCAGAGGAAGGTTATAAAAATCACTTTGAGAGGGCCGTATAATAATGCAATATATGTTTTCTTGTCAAGAGCATTGTTTAAATTTTCTTATCACAAGATGAAATAAACAATTGATTGAAAGAAAAAAATATCTCTATACCAAATGTTTTGTGACACATTTTGACCTCATAGTGCATCTACAAATTCATCACAATGAGCTTGCTCACAGAAGTCAGAATACATGCTGCGTGTTCCTGTACGTTACTATTAGCAAATGTTGGGTGACATTCGCTATACTTATGAATGTGTCAATAGACTGGACCAGGGCCCACTTGCATAAAATAGTATTAGTGCTACAGTGATCATAAATCCTTAAACTCACAATCTCTGGCTTTGACTACAATTACCATCCACTTCCACAAAGTAATTGTAGGCTAAGATCATTATACGCTAGAATTGGTTCAGACCAATCCAAGCAACTAAGATCATTGTCACCTGTGAATAAACTTGACAAAATGGCATGACAGACAGGGCCTGCATCAGATTATAATGTACTTAAGTTCTAACATTGCCTTTTATTTTCACTCTTCAAGGGAAGGATAAGACATAAAATGTCTGCAAGCCGTTAGTAATGTCTGTGACCTTTTGGATAGCTCAAGGGCAGATAATCTTAGTTTCTAGACGGGAGTGGTTTCCCTTTGTATATGCTTTTGACTGTGCAGAATTATTGACCTTACCAAATATATTGATGGTGTAAATTCACTCAGATCTGCCTATATATCTTTCAGATCAGTGATTTTTGTCTATAGTTTACCATTAAACTAATCTACAATTAAATACTAGTTGAAGTGAAAATTCATAGGGCTTTCTTTATCAGTCCTACCCATGAAGATCTGGGTTAGAATTGGCCTTCAGCAACCAATGCTTGTCGTAAGAGGCGACTAACCAGATTGGGTGGTCAGACTCACTGGCATGGTTGACACATGCCATCGTATCCCATTTGTGTAGATTGATGCTCATGCTGTTGATCACTGGATTGTCTAGTCAAGACTTGATTATTTACAGATCGCTAGGTTCTATTAGTAGAACCACAGTATTTTTATTCAGGTTCGGGTATACTGTGATGCAATCCAAAAATTCAGTGTTTTCATACTGTCATTTCTATCTAGTCATAAAATGACAGTTTTGTCCATTCAAAATAACAAATATTATGGTTGTTTACTTTCCCATGTTATTAAACAATGTATGGTTTGGCTCTTTGGCTCAGTTTTCTACATTATGATCATATCTCATACACTGAACCGAAACGAACCCAAACCGAAGGCCTTGTACTGCAATACGTACCATTACATGGTAGCGTACCATTTCTCCCCTACAAACTGCCACCATATTGCTGGAATATTGTGGAGTGTGGCGTTAAACACCAACCAACTTTATCATTCCTAAAGTGGAATGAGGGATGAGCGGTTGTTTTAATGTATGGATCTTAAATCAGTTTATTTATCAAACAAGTGAATTCTTGTTGGGTCGATCCCCAATGGCTGTCATTACCAAAACACATAAAAAGATTGTAGTTGTTGTTGCCCAGCCTGGGGCTCGGCATTAAGGGGATAAACAAGACTGGTTGGCAAGGAGTCTGCATGCTGTGAAGGCGTGGGGTATCCATGCTAAACTGTGGTATGGTGCTTCAGTTGGCTATTGGGTTTTACTTTGACTTGCAGAACTAGTGGCTGATACACCCACTGATTAATATCAAGGGTTCTGTAAAGTAATATAATGGTTTGATACAGTTTATCAACTTTCAAATTACAGAACCTTTATGTTTCTTTCAAGAATAATATTTCCTGTGTTCATGTTATACATCAAAACACTGAGACTAGTATTATAAAACCCATATTAGTCACATGCACATTACTGTAGTGATGCACTAAACCTTTATGCAATTCTAAACCCTATTTCATCTCCACTTGCCCAAAATCCCTTTTAACCTCCCTTCGCCCTTATCCACATTTCACCTCCCCTCACTGTAAGCCTTATTTCACCTCTCCTCGACGTAGTCCTTGTTTCACTTCCCCTCACCATAAACCCCATTTCACCTCCCCTCTACCTAATCCTTGTTTCACCTCCCCTTGACCTAAGCCTCATTTCACCTCCCTTCCTCCTAAACCCCTTTCACCTCCCCTTGACCTAAGCCTCATTTCACCTCCCTTCCTCCTAAACCCCTTTCACCTCCCCTTGACCTAAGCCTCACTTCACCTCCCTTCCTCCTAAACCCCTTTCACCTCCCCTTGACCTAAGCCTCATTTCACCTCCCTTCCTCCTAAACCCCTTTCACCTCCCTTGACCTAAGCCTCATTTCACCTCCCTTCCTCCTAAACCCCTTTCACCTCCCTTGACCTAAGCCTCACTTCACCTCCCTTCCTCCTAAACCCCTTTCACCTCCCCTTGACCTAAGCCTCACTTCACCTCCCTTCCTCCTAAACCCCTTTCACCTCCCCTTGACCTAAGCCTCATTTCACCTCCCTTCCTCCTAATCCTTGTTTCACCTCCCCTTGACCTAAGCATGACTTCACCTCCCCTCCCCGTAAACCCCATTTCACCCCCCTTCGCCCTAAATGCCATTTCACCTCCCCTTGACCTAAGCCTCATTTCACCTTACCTTCTCCAGTGTAAAATGTATCCATTCTATTATATTTTGAGTTCAAATGACACAACACTTAAAATTCATTACACAAGTGTAAGAAAACCTATAGGAAAGAAAGACATGCACATGTCTGTTTGACCAATGATATGTTTGCTTGTACATTTTGATTACTGAAGAGATTTCTATGTTTGAGAATATAATATGTTCATGTGCACATTGTCTTTCAGTCTCCAACAAAAGCGGTGTACAATCCTCGGTCCTGGCAAGGCAGCTTGGATCATGGCAACCCATCATCAAAGGTAAGCATTTCTGTGGACTCTAGTCAGTCTCACATTCCCTTAACCATTTTATTTTCCATACAGCCTAGTCCTCCCTGCTATGCTAAAGCTCTAAATGAAGCAAGTCTAGATTTCCCCAGGTTCCGAATCTTTGGTCTCTGGAGTGGGACTCCTTTTCAGTTTGAATAGGTTTATTTGTTACAATCAAATATATATATACATTCAGAGACTAAGCGTTAGGCTACTGAGCACTTCTGTATTATAGAATAAAGTAAGTATTATCTGTTTTATGGATGATGGTAAAATTTCTTAAAGTTCACCAATTGATCTTGTAGTGACATATTTCTACTGGATACCTGCTATAAAGAAAGAGCTTGATACAGTATCTGTGGAGAGTGATTTTGTCTGCCTCATGACCACACCAGGGTTTCGCTTCTTATCACTTTATTTGTCAGTGGTCAAACTCAAATGTTTGTTGTATATTATTTCTGTATGATATAGAGATTCTTCATATGTGTTTCAAATGGTATGTTATTTAAACATTTTGGTCAAACTGAAAGTCCTTGTTTTTGTGAAATGTTGTTATATCTTTGTCAGTTACTCAGGCTTAATCACCACCAGATATGATTATGGCAGGAAAGAACTATTCTGTTTGCTTTTCATTTTAAGTCCTACTGTAGTGGCCCTAAAATTTCTGAACCCGTGCTGGGATTTGAACCACGGATATTCTTATTTGAAGTCAACATGTACATGACCAAAGAGGTTTCTCTCCACCCTTTCTGTCTCTATGTACTGTCATTAAGCCACATGACAGTGATTCAAAATGCTTTTTAATAAACAGTCCTTATGAAATAATAAACTCTCCAATGCATGCTTAAGAAAACTAAATGTCTTGAAAAGATCTACATGCAATGTATGGTAAAAACATATAAACTGTCCCTCCTGAAAGGAAAGGAAACCTGAACAAAAGTTAATTATCAGATCCTTAGTGCCATCTGCTGTCAGACTTTTATAGACAGTTTCAGTAGAAAAAGGCTGGGAATAAATGCCATGGTGTTTTTCCAGGAAGACACATACAGTGAAAATATTCACTGTGTGTCAGTGTCTAATGTTCCAGTTGTCAAGTAATTCATGCTATATATCAGTACATCATGAGGTTCTTTACCTTCTACCATAGGAGGAAAGCAAGCCACAACCTACAGTAAACGTGAAGGCATTAAAAGGGTTTGCTGAACCAGATCCTAAGGCAAAGTCAGCTCCCAAACTGACCAGGGCCGTCCACTGGCCAAGCAGACTTGGGGATGAGGCCTACACATCCATCAGAGTCAACAAGGAACATCGTCCGGTAGGACCAACATTTTATACTGTATTACAACATCATCAGATCATTATTGAGGACAAAGGATATTGTTCAAAATTTGTTTTAAGGATGTTCGATGACATTACACTTTGGATAGTCATCATACTAAGATCGTGCGTACAATTAGAATCACTTAGCATTGATCTTTGTTTGCAGCTGTTCACGGTTGTGCGGAATGTGAAGCAGGCCTTTGAGGTGCAGGAATCAGGAGAGACACAAGACTTCATGGATGATGTGGAATATCTGTTAGATGGCCTTCAAGACACAGAACCTATGCCAATCAGGTGTTTAAGGTAGGTGTTTCACAATACAGTGTACATCATCAGCGGGTTGGATGTTGAGGGAAAGGTCTGCAAACAGCAGTGTATATTTTCAGTGGGTTAGATGTGAGGAAGATATGTCACATCTTAGTGTATGTAGTCAGTGGATTGAGTGTGAGGTCGATTCTTTACACAGCACTGTGGGTTGAATGTCTGAGGTAGGTGCTTCACACAACAGTGTGTGTAGTTGGTTGGTAAGATGTCTGAGGTAGGTGCTTTGCACAACAGTGTGTAGTTGGTGGCTTGGATATCTGAGGCAGGTGCTTCACACAACAGTGTGTGTAGTTGGTTGGTAAGATGTCTGAGGCAGGTGCTTCACACAACAGTGTATGTAGTTGGTTGGTAAAATGTCTGAGGTAGGTGCTTCACACAACAGTGTGTAGTTGGTGGCTTGGATATCTGAGGTAGGTGCTTCACACGACAGTGTATGTAGTTGGTTGGTAAGATATCTGAGGTAGGTGCTTCTCACAACAGTGTATGTAGTTGGTTGGTAAGATGTCTGAGGTAGGTGCTTCACACAACAGTGTATGTAGTTGGTTGGTAAGATGTCTGAGGTAGGTGCTTCACACAACAGTGTATGTAGTTGGTTGGTAAGATATCTGAGGTAGGTGCTTCACACAACAGTGTATGTAGTTGGTTGGTAAGATGTCTGAGGTAGGTGCTTCACACAACAGTGTGTAGTAGTTGGTAAGGTCTGAGGTAGGTGCTTCACACAACAGTGTATAGTTGGTTGGTAAGATGTCTGGTAGGTGCTTCACACAACAGTGTATGTAGTTGGTTGGTAAGATGTCTGAGGTAGGTGCTTCACACTACAGTGTATGTAGTTGGTTGGTAAGATGTCTGAGGTAGGTGCTCACACACAGTACAGTGTATGTCTAGTTGGTTGGTAAGATGTCTGGTAAGATGTCTGAGGTAGGTGCTTCACACAACAGTGTATGTAGTTGGTTGGTAAGATGTCTGAGGTAGGTGCTTCACACAACAGTGTATGTAGTTGGTTGGTAAGATGTCTGAGGTAGGTGCTTCACACGACAGTGTATGTAGTTGGTTGGTAAGATGTCTGAGGTAGGTGCTTCACACAACAGTGTATGTAGTTGGTTGGTAAAATGTCTGAGGTAGGTGCTTCACACAACAGTGTATGTAGTTGGTTGGTAAGATGTCTGAGGTAGGTGCTTCACAACAGTGTATGTAGTTGGTTGGTAAGATGTCTGAGGTAGGTGCTTCACATGTATGTAGTCGGTGGCTTGGATATCTGAGGTAGGTGCTTCACACAACACTATATACAGTCAATGGGTTGGTTGGGTTGGTGCTTCACACAGCAGTGTATGTGGGTAGTGTTTGGGCATCTGAACGATGTGCTGTAGTCGGTGGGTTGGATGATTTGAATGAACCCAGTAGTAATTTAAAAATGTTTAAGAGATCTCACAATTAAATGTGTTGCCATGTGTTGGTTTCAGCTGTATCCAGCTGGCTGGAAAGTGCACTCTACCTGCATTCCGCATGCACTTGAGAGCCCATGGCATCATGACCAAGATCTTCACCATGCTGCATGATGCCAACACAAATCCTGTAAGTGTAGCTTGCCAGAGTAGTATCAGCCAGTCAGTGTGTCATGCAGCTGTGGAATATTCAACACCTGTGACCACGGGAACTTGGCTTCATGCAAATACTGGTTGAAACTCCAAATACATTGAACTTTTGCTTAAATTGACCTAGAAGAAGAAATTATTAGTAACAATGTTTTTAGCTAATTATCAAACATTGGGGTGAATGGCATTCTTATGGGTAATATTTTGTTGAGAAAACACAATATTGAGGTTAAAAGAAATGTTGGTTCAAAGATGTGACACATTGATTGATTCAGCTGGAGCCCGGGGCAACTGAGTGAAGTGTCAGTAAAATGTCTGAAGCCAATGTTTGCATTCAGGAGTGCAATACAAATACAGATGTCAACCTGGAAAAAAGTAATAGCTATATATGTACATGTATGTGAAAATCAATTCAAACTGTGCAACAGCTATTTGTTCATGATATTTATGGTAAAAGTGTTCAAAATATCCATTGACAGTCATATGTTTTTGAACACAATAATGTGAGACAATGTAATGATATGGTCCTAAATAATGGAATGAACTTAAAGGTCACATGCAACGTAAAACACAACTTTTCAGATTCTGATACCTTTCGGTATGGACTTTCCGAAAACAAATCATCAAAAATGCAAATTCAACTTATAAAGTTGAAAAATAACGCGATGAAAAAACCCGCTGGTTTTAACAGCTGGGCTGCACTCATAGCTCGTGTGCAGTGAAATAGGTTCGCGCAACTTTGAAGTGGGCTGTCCGGTGAATACTCGGTGAAGGCTTTGGTGTGAGCTATTTTCCTAATGTTTTGTTGATATCTCACAGGCGCGAGCTTTTTATATGTTATTACAGTAGAAAAACTGTTTATATAATTTCATTTGTCTATTTCACCACACATTCTTCTTACCGAGTCACTTTCTCAGTTCATTACTTAAAAGCAATGTCAGAATTTCTAACTGTGATATAGATCTGTCGTTGTCACAGACAAAATTCAATGTTTTGTTTTATTGACACCTGTGTGTCTGCCTGCCTGTCTGCTAATGACAATATTCAATACACAACTGCGATCACTGATCACATGCAATTTGAATTTAACACCAATCAGGCTATACACCATAAACAAAACGCATTGATTTATGGCCCGAGTTCGGTCTCTGTCACATTATGTAATTACACAGACAGGCAGGTGTGATACTTGAACACATGACATGTTATGATGTCTGTTGATTGCAAAATGTTATACACAAAAAATGAGCATGTATTTACAAAACCCAACATCTCTATATATATACACACACAATGAGCCGCAAGGGCATCTGCAAATGAACCAGCCGTTACACTTGAGTGCACACCCACCCGCTCTGACTGGGTTCGGTATCCCGGCTGCTTCGTTTCTTGGGAAGTAAACCCAAGTACACAATATTGCACTTTTGATTTGCGATTGTACGCTTATAATTTTGTTTATATGTTTTTTCATAACCAGCAATGTATATTATATGTCATGAATAAGTGATAATTGTGTTTTAATTATATTTGATTTTTTGGTTGCCTGTGACCTTTAAGCTTTTTGCAGAATTTGTTCAGTATTCAGATAATTAAAACGTGATATTTTTTTCTGTCAATGAAGATTTCCAGCGATAATGCTGATAACTCGCACAGAAGATGAAACCTTATTTTTAGTTCATTAGGCAAGCTTTTGACATTAAGAATAGTTGTGATACAATTATTTAATCTGTATATCCTTCTTTCTTCACAAGCAATGTAGTCCTAAAAATGGTCTATTGGCACCTTTAAGAATCACCAACTAAAGCCATGTTATAAGTGCTCATGTTCAAGTTAGTCCAAACAATAATTAAGAAACAATCATACCTTGTGATGGTTTGTTTATAAAAACTTGACAATGACCAGATCCCTGTTTGTTCCTACTTAAGAGTCTGGCACTGAGCACTGCCACAATGATGTACATGCTGAGCAAGGACCGGTTGAACATGGACCTGGACCAAGAGAGTTTGGATCTCATGCTTCGACTCCTGGAGGTGGACTCCGAGAAGAATGGTGAGGTACAGCTTGGTCAGTCTGATCTCAAGGAGCTTGAGCGTACCAGGCAGCGTGTGTATGAACTGTGTGAACAGATGCAGAATGTTGGGACCAAGATGGACTTGGATACCATATCGGTAAGACATTACTCAAAGAATATATTTGCGGGTTTGGGGGGTTTGGTTTATTTTTGTTCAAATACTTACAGTCCCGGTTAAGAATGATTCCAGCAACCTTTGCCTTTCAAGGGGCGGTGGGGTAGCCTAGTGGTTAAAGCGTTGGCTCGTCACGCCAAAGACCCGGGTTTGAATCCCCACAGGGGTACATTGTGTGAAGCCAATCTCTGGTGTCCCCCGGCGTGATGTTGCTGGAACATTGCTAAAAGCGGCGTAAAACCAAACTCACTCACTCACTCACTTTGCCTTTCATATGATGTGACAATATGGATTGAGTTTTTATACCTGGTGTGTGTGTTGATTATGTATTACTGTTTCCCAAAAGACTGAAACATGGATGAAGTTTCAGTAGGTGAAGTTTATGGCCCTGATTCAGTTGTTTACAAGCCTTCAACATACTGCTGGGATGTTGCTGAAAACCACCTTGATCAACAAACCATTACTTCCGTTATAACACATGCATTGGTTTCCAAATTTGATTGTTGCTTTTATAGTTGGATTGTTGGTGAGAAACTAAATAGCAGTTTCCTTACATGCTTCTTCTCTTGATAGATGAGATATAAAAGAGTTCTGGTTTAAACATTGCAGACCGGTAACTTAGCCATGGAGTCATTGCTGAGCCTGACATCCCGGAAGGCTGGCGAGTGGTTCAAGGAGGAGCTGCGATCTCAGGGAGCTCTAGATCATATTGTAAATACAGGTAAGGTACTGAAGACTCAGAAAGGACTGTCATTTGAACTGTTACTAATTATTATGTGTATCTTTTAGTAACTGATATAGTTTTCTTGAAATTTTTATTCACAGTTTAGATTGTGTTACATATACTGATATGTATTGAGTCCTGATTCAGTGGATTAAATATAAGTACTATTCCACATATATTACAGGTAGTTAAATCAAGTGGTCATGACCAGTTTCACTGCTTTTTTAGGGTAGAGATCATACTGTCAATGCTCTGTCATCATTCCTTATTGATTTCAGTCAACACCTGCTCGCAATATGTAGGCCATGAGATTGTGTCAAATGACAAGTCGTTGCCAAACTTGAGGAAACTAGATCGATGCCTGCGAGTATTAGAGAATGTAAGTACACCTGGTGATGTGTCAGTGTATATTTTGATTGATGGTTGCTGTAATATGGTGGGTTTGGGGCTCATTTGATCATTAGATCAACTAACGTAACACATGTAGAAGTATAAAATACATGGTGAAAGCCATAGACTGACATAATACTGATCGATATAAGTTGAACTTGAACTGGCCTTACTGAACCACTACAGTTATAGTGAAATGTTAGATCGTCTTTTACAGTTGTAAAGTGATTCTGTTGTGTTTGTTTGCAGATAACTTATATGAACACAGATAACCAAAGCTATGTGATCTCCTATGAGAATGCACTGCTGATCACTTCCATCTGTAGGTGAGTAGATGTACCAGTCTTCTGAAAGTAAGGCAGTTGTCATCATGTTCCAGGACAGAACAACCCATAGTGCCCATACTTGTAGCAACCTGGAGAGAATGCAGGGAATAATCTAGACCTACCTTGAGGCATATTGGGCCCAAGTCTGCAGTACGCTGTTATGGCTGTAGTTCGCATTACAGCTTTGACTTGTATTTCACTGTTAAAAGGACTAGATTGATGTTGTACAAAGACCCTTCCAGGCCTGCGTCAATCCCCAATTCACAAATACAGGAAATAGGTCTACTAGAGCTATAGCAAGGTGTATGTGGTGCACTGTTGTGGGAAAGCTTGTTGTTGGTGGTTGCTTGGGTTAATAAGAGACTACAACTCCTGTGCTGCCACCAGATTAAGGTGAAGTTATGCTTAAGCTATTAATGGAGGGCCTCTATGGAGCAATGCGGATAAGAGCAATACTAGATCACAATTAGATGTCTTTTTATTCTTTGAGTTTAAATATGTCAGCTCATCCTTGTCAAAAAGTTGGTTGAAATTGGGTGGTAAGTCACTGTGATTTTACGTCAAGACTTTAGTGTTTGAGTTGATATAAATGTCATACCACTGACATAGCTCACTACCTTCAGTGTTGAACAACATTCTCCCCACTTATTCTAAGTCATCATGTCATTGTGTAGTTGTTAGGGGTCTTCATGAGGTTAATGATTGGGTGGCTAAGTGAGATTGTCATGTTTTGCAGAGTCCTCCAAGCCTGTGAGGACAGCATGCCCATGTATCCTGTGACTGAGGACCCCGAGAAGAACAAGATGGTGAAAGAGACGCTGGGCTACACAATCATCAGCTGTGTCCTCGCCATCCTGCGGTGCTCCTCAATGTCACACATGACAATGGTAAGTCTCACAAGCAGTAAACAGTGGATGTGTACAAGGTGAATTTGCTGCTATATATGTGTTCATTTCAGCAGCTGTGCTATGTGTGGTTTCTCAACCATGGGCTGACAACAGGTTTACAGGATTTATGACCATGCATCCAGACTGAACATTCATTTGAAATCATTTGAATAGTCATCTATATAAAGCAACATAATAAGAAGACACTTCTACCTGTCGCCACCTAAGTTATTATTCCACCAAAATAAGCGCCACGTTAAGAAAATTGGTAATATTTCACTTGATTCCTCACATTTAACATCTACTGTCTTTTCGTATTTAAAATTGATCTTCCATGCTCTAGAGGACCGCCTCCGTGGTGTAGTGGTTAGAGCGTCCGCCCGGAGAGCGGAAGGACGCGGGTTCGATCCCCGACTGCGTCATACCAAAAGACGTTAAAATATGGTACTTGTTGGTCCCTGCCTGGCGCTCGGCATTAATGGGTACAACAGAGACTGGTCAGCTCGGAGTCAGTATAATGTGTCTGAGTGGGGTATTCATACTTCACTGCGGCATGGTATCTCAGTGAGCTAGCACTATAAAGTACAAGCAGCCTCACATACACATACACACGCATGCACGTCATCATATGAGCGAAATATTCTGAAGCACGACGTTAAACCCAATTTCACCTCACCTCCATGCTCTAGAATTTATGTTTTATGTTTGTCATGTATATTTGTCTAAATATATTGTAATATGTAGTGTACCCTCATTGTATATTCTGCACCATGTGGAAAGGCATTGATATAAGCCACAGGCTTGTTTGCCAATCCACTCCATTTTGTTAATGTATTATATGCACATGCTCTTTTGAACAATAAATATTGTTTAAACCAAAGCAACATATTACAGACTCTATTATCAGTACAACAAGGAACCTAGTTGAATATTTCCTAAATGGTGTGTATCCTGTGTATGTTGCAGAGTTTGGGAGTACCAAGGTGGGGGAGCAGGAAGGACTGATGGAGTGTGTGCTGCTGTGTGTTTTCTCCACTACACAGTATGCACCTGCCGACCAGAAGTTTGACATCCTTGTCCTGGTGAGAAAGCAACATATTATTTCATATACAGAGACTGGGAATGAGATTGAGGAAATTGGTCTACTGATGGTCTCACAGTTGAAGGTTAACATCTGGGTCATGTTCTTTTTTCTCCCAAATGGAGCATTTTCTAAAAGAACATGAACAAATCAGAGAACTTAAATCCAAGGGAGATAATCAGTGTCGTCTGTTTTTGGGGGGGCGGTGGTATGTGGTGTTGTTGTTTTATTTTATTTTCCATAAAAAGAAGAACACGAGAATATATGTGATTTATGATGTATGATTATTGGGCAATATGCTTTCATTGTTTTGGAACAACTCTACAGAAATTTCACTTCCATTTATATAGTGTGAGATTAATACAATGATTGTGTGAGTGAGTTTTGTCTCCTCCTCCTTCAGTGTATTGGGCTGCTGATCAACATGGTGGAGCACTGCCTATCAAACCGACGCCACCTCATAGAGAACCAGATTCCACTCTCCTCAGGAAAAGTGTCTGCTGTCAAGGCCCTTATCGAGGTGCGTAAGCCTGGAGGAAGTCTCACCAGGGTTGAAATTCTGTGCATTAGAGTGACCCCCATCATAATGGGATTGTCCCTGAAGAGATTACATGGTGTTGATGGGATGAAAGAAGTTATGAATGTACATTTACTGAAGTTCAATAATAAACACTTTATTTTTAAAAAGTACAACTAGCTGAATCTCTGAATTCACAGTGCAATTTAGAAAGTGATCAAACGTAACACATGTCATATTTGAGATTACACTTTCTCATTCAGAACAGATTCTAGTACTTATATTGGGTTGAGTCCCTTCCGGGATTTGAACCCATACTCTCAGAGTCAGGCACCTAATCACCAGGCCAGCTATTCTCGAAACGTTCGTAGCCCTACGAACTTCTTAAGCCCATTCTTAACACATTTGCTATGATCAAATTTAGAATTCTTAAGGCTACGAACGTTTCGAGAATAAGGGCTCAGCACACAAAGTCAGCCATCTAATCCACTCAGGCTTCCACAAGATGGAAGTGCCTGATCTGAGAGTCTTCGTTCGGATCCTGGATGAGACTCCACCCAACAAGAGTACTAGAATCTGTACTTTCTGGAGAAAGTGTAATCCCAAATATAATGTGTTATAACTAAATCTCATTAAGTCACTTTGGTTGCAGATATTATGTTGGGACAGTCAGCCAGTCATGGGTCAGGTGGTTGCATTAGGTGACCCGCCTGTTAGTTTGACATTGTACCCTGTCGGTGTAGATTGCTGCCAATGTTGTCACTGGTTGATGCATGGCCCAGACTGCAGGCTGCAGTAATGTTACTTGCATATTATTGTCATAAGTAGTGTTCCATTACTCACCTTTGCAAAAATGAATGTGATATTCAGTGTCCCCATGAAAGACATAAGATGTTCTCAAATATTTGACCCTTGTCCTTTACCAGGCCTCCAAGTTCATATTTTGACTAATTGTTATTAGCTAAATGAAAATGAAAATTTACTATCCAAAATTTAGTGTTAGCTGCCATACAGATTTTCAGTTATCGTTGACATATTGTCAGATTTACTAAGTTCCACTATTAGAGATCACAATAGATAAATATTTTGTAAATAATCCCATAGCCGATCGGAACGTCGGAATTATTTATGATGAAAACTGGAATAACTGCCTTGATTTTTTACCTCACTCAACAAAGGCTAAGTGTTTCAGATTATTTTGTTGCATTTACCAAATTTTACTCGCAAATGCGACCAATTCACAAGGAGCCATGTTTACTCATGTTTACAATTTGGTTAATTATACAAATTGTCAGACATGTGTGAGGTCCACAACCAGTGTCGGCATATTAGCAATAGAATGATATGAAGCCCCACAGTGAACTGCATCTAATCCTTGTTAATACCTGCTATGTTCAGTCTGTGATTGTCGAGCATTCGGACTGTTCTTCCTATGTAGATACAAAGCATTGTGTGATAAGCTGGTGATGTGTGAGTGTACAGTTGTTGTGTATGTGGTAATAGCAGGAGAAAGAAGCCGTCAGCGAGAGACATACCTGGCTAGATGAAGGCGTCTTTGTTGTCCAAACCCACAGCATTTTCCACTCTTAAGCTGTTGTTGTTGACAAACAAACATGCAGAAGCAACTTCAAAGAGCTTAAGCTAACATGGACGTTCCACAATCACATTGCAAATAGTTTGGAAGGCCTTTAGGCATACATGTGATGATGATGTGGAAAGCTTCACATTGTTAGCAGCAGGAAATGTGTGCAGTGGACTAGACTTAATCTGAGACTTGCTAGCTTGGTTTTAGGGGAATTTACTGTGTGTGGAATGAGGGATGGCAGATTTTGCAGATATTTAACTGGTTGTTCGGCCCTGCTTGTGGAATTGAGTAAATGTCAGTTGCATCAATTTGTATATCACACTTGGAATTTGATATGCTTCAGTTGGTATTGGATGTTGTGCAATTCCTTATCGTTTTTCTTTTGTGACAATTGAGAAAAGGGACGGAAGGAAGAATGTGATATTTCAAGGAGATATCTAGGAATTTATCTATGATTCTAAACTAAATGCCCTTTGTAGGCAATGTGGGGAAACTCTTTTCTATTTTTGTTTTTGTTTTTGTTTTCTAAATCCTGAGTTTATTTGACATATCATTTTACATTCTGTGCAGTAACATTAAGACGTACCACAAAAGGCTATTCCTCTACATTGGTCAAGAAATGCAAATCGCCGTACAATAACATAACATTAGTTTGAACTGTGGACACCATGAATTGGGAATTGTGTAATTCCAATTTTCGAATATTTAAAGACAATTGCAGGACTGAATATTGATTCCAAACAAATCAAGATGGATCCCTGGATACTTGAACTAAAGACATTTTTTAATGAAGAACAGTTAATGCCATACAAGCCTTGTTCTTGTTCCATAACACACTTTTGTGACATTGGATATATTCTGTCAATATATAAGCTTAAGTATCAATCAGATGCAGTTTGTTTACTTATAGACTGGATAGTGAGTTACTTTGATGGTCAGTAATAGTCACAAAATGCCTGAGATGTTTTTTGTAAATGAAATCTTGAACAATATGGCTAAAAAAATGACTGCCCTTAGTGATGTGTTTCTCATTAATTCCAAACAACAGATTACAGATATGGTCAGGTAGGCAACATTGTAGTTTCTCCAAATGATTCCTTGCTTATTCATTGTTTGTAAACTTTATTTCCATTAGATAAGCCATGATGTTCAGGATATATTTTCAGTAGGAATTTGTATAAGGATTTAGCATTATTTGTGTAATGTAAAACGGATAGTGCAGGGATATATCTATGCCTGCACAGAGAAAGATATTTAGACCCAAGTCAACACCATTTGAAACAGAAAATTCCTGTATGGGAATAAAATGTAAATATGGTTACTCTGATGAGATGCATGGGTGATTGTATTCCATCCATAACAGAACCTAAAAAGAACAAGAGGCTAATTTTACAATTTTGCTATGAACACCCAATCTCTTTTAAAATGTTAACATTGAAAGCAATGTCAGTTTGCCTGCCAAGGGCACATAGTGTAGAATGCAAAATAAATCCCTGGAGTGAATGAATGGGCATCCTTTGTTATCCAGTGAATTACATCTGTATTCCATTTTGAAAAACTTTTCACCATAGCTGAATGGCAAGACACTGACAATAGCCATCCATCCAAATTACTTTGTTTAATAAGAGGACATTTGTCATCGTTTGGAGAAAGGGGTTATGGAGGTGGTGGCATTCCTTCCATTATAAATGGGGCGGTAGGGTAGCCTAGTGGTTAAAACATTCGCTCGTCACACCGAAGACCGGGGTTCGATTCCGCACATGGGTACAATGTGTGAAGCCCATTTCTGGTGTCCCCTGCCATAATATTGCTGGAATATTGCCAAAAGCAGCATAAAACTAAACTCACTCACTACATAATAAACAGCAACAGGTTTCACTGTAATCCATAGTTTATTACAGTGTCTAATTTTACACTCAGAAATGATAAGATTGTCTTCTATGCTTCTCACTTTTTTACTGCCGCAAGGTAAGAAAGGATAAGATACAATAGGAGCAACATTTTGGTGTCAGTGTCAACACCATTATAAAGCATATATCTCATACTCCAACTTCTAAATGCCTCTGAAAGAAGTTGCCGCAAGATAGTTACAGCTGTATTGTGTTGCAGTTGTTCTGTGAGAGAGAAAAGGCAGCACGAGCAATGGAGGAACAGCAGAAGGATGAATCAACGTCCAGTACTGACCAACCGTCCCATAACACCAGTGGAGAGTGGCAGGAATCGGAGGCTGGAGTGCAGTGGATTGTGGCTTCTGCAGAAAAGCTTCGGAAACAGCAAAACAGCGACCCAGAGCCATCCCAGTCTGAGAGTCAGGAGGAGCCAAGTGTGCTGGATGATGAGGAGACTTTCACTCAAGGTGAGGAGGGACAGAGACATTCTGTGTACATGTTATTAATACATGGATCTTGTGTTGCAGAACATGGTCTTGTAATGTGTGTACTTTTGTGTTGGGGCCTTTTAACCCAAAGCAAGTATGAAACTGAGTTAAGGAAGACTTTGAGTAGATTCACAAATTTTCCAATTATTACCAAGTGGTAGAAAGTGAATAAGAATCAGCTGATTGTTGTTAAACAATTTTCTAATTTTCTGTCTTGATTAAATATTTTAGTTTGTGATATAGTTTTTGTTGAGTCCATTTTGTTTATGCCACAAATTAGATTAGCACACTATTTAATATTTTGAGTGAGATTCTAAATACAGTTATTGTTGATATTTTAGAGTGTTTTAACATGTTGACTGCCACCACAACTATACTCGTAGTATCAATTCTGTTCGAATTTCCCACTACGAGTTATCTCGTAGCTACATCAGTGGTATTTTAAAACAAGTTTCACATGTTGGCGAAACTTGTTTTAAAATACCACTGATGTAGCTACGAGATAACTCGAAGTGGCAAATTCGAATAGACATTGATAATACGAGTATAGTTGTGGCAGTCAACGTGTTAAAACACTCTAAAATATCAACAATAACTGTATGATAGGCAGTCAACGTGTTAAGCCAAATAGTTTTTGTGCACATATAGTGGCTATTATCTTGTTAATATTTAGGGTTTGTTTAGTTTTATTTAATACATGTATCTTGTGTTTCAGCCTTACACAAAGCTGGCAAACATATGGAGAATAGTATCATTGCATCCTATGTTGCCCTTCTGATTGGCTGTCTTATTCAAGACAACAGGGTAAGGGAACCAGCCTATGCTACATTGTGACCATTATTTAACCATGCCTACATTTTGATTTATCGTAATGAAACCATTTGTTGCTATTACTCCTCTGGAGTTAAGATGATCTCATCTGGAATTGTTGAAAGGTAAATAGTCTATGATCCGACAACCACCTAACCTGTTTGGTGTCTGTGAGGAGATTCAGATGTTATATTTGTTTTTCTTGTTGCAGATGTATGTGGACAGAGTCAAGGAGTATTTACCTGATGGCAGCTTTGATTCCATGATTAAAGTCCTCAAGAAATTCTTAGGTTTTATGAATTTGACTGTAAGTGTTACATCAATTCTCAGTGTTGTATTTGCATAATTATCTAGCAATCCAGAATGTCTATTCTAGAAATATCTGAATGAAATTCATATTTGTTGCAGTGTTTGTGGATTTTATCATTATTTCAGTGGCTAGGTTTCCAGGAATATGTTCAAATAATATGTACATATGCGTCAATATGTGACTATGATCAGTTTGTGAGTGTCTGTTGTTTTATGAATTCTGTTGAGTCCAGGGTTAGAGTAAGTTCTAACTACACTTGATCAGGTGGCTGGATGTTGATTGCTTGTCAGCTTACCATGACGGTGTTGGACGTTGCTTGAAGTACATGATTATTTATACGTAGCTGTGATATATATGACTGCTTTGGACAACTAATTTTAAAACATTTTGTTTCATGCTTCAAAAGCATGTCCAAATATGTAATGCAACTTTTTAACCTACTAGCACCATTATTTTAATATTCTTATTAATTCTTGTTTGCAGAGTGCTATTGGAAACACAGGGGGTCAGCCAATCGCAAGAGTTATAGAAATCTTGGAGGCATGCTGACCTTGACCTCTTCATTCACATTTGTATATTTATTCATTGATCAGTGTCATGAGGGTGAAGGTCGTGGGCGAGACAGGAGGAATCTGTTATCTTCCTGAAACTATGTGAGAAATGATGATGATACAATGATGATGTGGATATTTATATTGTGATAATCATGAAGCTTCAGTTTCTCCTCTGTTGGTTTAGTCAGTATTGATCATTGAGGGCCACTGTGTATTTGAAATGTCTGGGTGTAATTTAACTATTTATTTTGATCAATCACTTTTGTTTTCAACTGCACTATCAGAAGTTCGAGAAAGTGTTTTGGGCATTTAGATACTTATGGACAAGGGTTGAAGCAGTTCCTTGTTCTATCCTACAACGATTTGGTATGCAATACAAGGTGTGGTGAGACAAACTTTTAGGAGTCATACCTGTACTGGAATATTACGTCAATGAACAAGAAGCAGCTCATCTGACCAACATCTATTAATTCCATACTGCTTTTAACATGACTGTGGTGTTTCTATTTCATGTTCATATTTTTGTTTTTTTATTTAATATGAATAGATGCTTGGGGGATACGGGAGCAGTTGAAATTATAGGACTTTCTTTACTGAAAGCCTTAAAGTCTGTGTTATGCAATGTAGTATTAATGTATAGGACGTGATTTGGTCATACTTGTTCCCCTATTCCCCACTGTACCTATCAACCCTGGTTTATATGTTTGAGTATTTCTGAACAATGTTTTTATCCGAGAGGGACATATTTATAGTTGTTTTATTTGACTAAAAATCCCACATTTCAAGATGTTGATGGCAGCAATTTGTTATGTGAAACAGAAGCATTTATTTTATCCTTACATATTTCGTCTCATACAGGATATGAAGATAGAAGGCACTGTTATTTAAATCATGAGTTCCAGTAAACCCTTTGTATGTGTTATGATTTTAGTTCATATGGGTCACCAAAATTGTTTCCTTGTGTATCCTAAAACTGACCACGGTTTTGTGTAAAAAAATACTGTTCCAATTATTCAACCACTGCAGGTTTGTTCATGCACAAGTTATAATTTTATTGAAAAAACCTTCATGCGTAATTCAGCTTGGCATTCATTAAACAACAAACATCTATCATGGCTGAGTACCACTGATGTTTTTCAAGACTTTAACATGAACACATACTAGTACACTTTCTGTAGCAGGATAGGTTATGCAACTTATCTGAATATTTCTTTTGCCTCTCCACCTGTATGAGAACTTAAAGCTTTTAGGATTGTACAGTTTCTATCATCTGAGAATGAAGAAAACTTTAAGGTGTGTGCATGCATGCTTGAGACTTAAGTGTATGTATATATTTGCAAAGATTCCTCCACGAAAACTCATCTTTTAACAGTTTCCAAATTTTGTATGCCAGTGTGAATAGCCTATGTTTTATACAGTGTGTAAATATTTTATATTGTGAATAAAATCAAGCAAAAACAAACATTAGTCAGGAATCATGTATGATTTATAATTGCAGTTTAACTGTCTTGAGCAGGAAATTCATACGATACCATTTCAGTTTGACTGACATTTTTAATACGAGGTACAGAGGTTGAATAGGACTTTTAGGATCATTTTATCCCATTCATACATATGTTTTATCTCATCGATGGTTTCTATATAACTTAACTATTTGTAAAGACCAACGTGTACCTGATTGTATGTGTTGTGCCCACCCACTGTAGATACAAGTGGCACACTCTAGATGTGTACAGTTAGGTGGCTCTGATAATAAAAGAGGTATTTTTATCAGCTCAAATAATGACTTTGTTTTATCTTTACGAACTACAGTAGAATATCATTAATTTGGTTTTCATTCGGATGAAGATTCGCAAACCATTGTTTTGTCTACAGGTGTCGACTTTAGATTTTAAGTTTCTGTTCCTCCTTAGTCTTTAATGCAGCCTTTGAAATTTGTGCTATTCTTCTGGCATGAAACCTGTGCTGAGGACAAGTAACATCCAATGATAGTTGTCCTCATGAAACTGGTACATTGAAGAGCTGTAATTCTGAACCAGTTTTCAATGGTTCCATTTTGCTATGAACTGCAGCATACCAACAACATCTAAGCAAAGTAAACATTTTCATATTGTTCAAGCAGGACTGTCCACAGAATAGTAAGGACACATGAAATATGGTACTGTACTTGTCATAAAAAATGGAATTTCTAAAGCTGTAAATTTAACTGGCCTTATCCTACATTTCCTTGGAATGCAAAATGTGGTTCCAGACAGTGTACACAGAGGGTGTTACTGTGATTATTCCCAAATCGGGGGGCATCTATATTCCCCCACTGTCAGGTGGCCTTGATTAAATTTATCAGTACTCCATAAGCTGTTCCTCATAGAGCTTCAAGTCTTGAATAACTGCCAAATACTTTTAGAAAGAATTTAGAACTGGATGGGGAAATAATTGTGCTATGCTTTTTCAGTTGTTTGCACAGTTAGGATTGATCTTGACCAGCTTGGAGGTCTATATTCAGCCCCATGTCTGCAGCAAGAGTCAGTAAAAAATCACAAATTTGATTTCAGCATTTCTTCTTTCATGCTGGCATAGTTTCAATTAATGTATTCATTTTGTTGGGGTGTACTTGCACCTCCCTGATAACAGAACCAATAAATGAATAGGCTTTAGTATTTAGTTTGCCATTGTTACAATGAATGCAATGTTACAATTCAGTGTTAAAATACTTCCAAATTTAGAAAAATGAGCACTTTTAAAAGAAATTTGATATTTGAAAAAAAGATAAACATTTTGCCCAATTTTACCTATCAAGTACAAATTGGAATCTTAGATAAATCTTGTACTGTGAGTATTGCATATATTCCGGTGTAAATGGAAAAACCTTGACCTGAAGCTTGCCTGATGATTGATCACATGTCTAATTTAACAAGTGAGATAAATTTCAATGATTCAGGGGGGTGGATGGGTAGCCAAGTGGTTAAAGCATTTGCTGGAGACCCAGGTTCGATTCCCACTTGGCAACATTGTTTGAAGCACATTTCTGGTGTCCCCCCCCACCCTGATATTGCTGGAATATTGCTGAAAGAGACTCTGAACTTGTACAAATTTGTTCCAACATTGTTTTTGAGAAATATATTAGAAAAGACAATGTTAGGCTCTTTAATATTTATTCACTAATGCTGTAAAGAAAGATGTAATGATGAAACTATCGAGATGGGACAGAGCAAGCCCAGGTATACCAAAGAAAACCAGCAGAGAGCAAGGGAACTGGAATAACTACTTTCATCAAGTAGAAATAGCCACACAAATTACTCTGCTTGTTGCAGTTTGTGTTATTTATGGTTTGGTTCCATTGAAAATTTGCCATGTTCTTATAACAATGCAGCGTGGTGGGGTAGCCTAGTGGTTAAAGTGTTCGCTCGTCAACCGAAGACCCAGGTTCGATTCCCCACATAGGTACAATGTGTGAAGCCCATTTCTGGTGTCCATGATATTGCTGGAATATTGCTAAAAGCGGCATAAAACCATACTCACATACTCTCTCACTCTCTCTCTCTCTCTCTCTCTCACACACACACACGACCCCACACACACACACTTGTAACAATGCAGACTGCAGGGATTGTAGCTAAAGTGTGTAGATGTTCCATAGTTTTCTGCTGGTTTTCTTTGGTAGGCCTGAAGCTGTTCACAGGTATATTGCATCATGGTAGACTTTAGAGAAGCCATTCCATGGAGCATTGCCAGACATACACAGAAAACATTTGAAATGCTACCATCAGTATTACTAAGCTGAAATACATTCAGCTGTTGACTCTCATTTACATGTTTTAAGTCCAGATTGATGTGAGTACAAATTGGTCGCAATACCTCTTTACCAGCAAATTGGGGTGGTGGGGTAGCCTAGTGGTTGCAGTGTTTGCTCATCACACGCCAAAGGCCTGGGTTCAATTCCCCACATGGGTACAATGTGTGAAGCCCATTGGGTGTCCCCCGCTGTGATATTGCTGAAATATTGCCAAAAGCAGCGTAAAACCAAACTCACTTTACCGGCAAAAGTATTGCTGATTGGAGTAAAGGTACCCTTGTCACACTGAAATGGATAGTCTTTTGTCTTTTCTTTGGCTCAATGGCCAGGGCCCAAGGAATAATATTGTCCTGGCTGCTAAACAGTTATCGCCATATTTTAGCGGTACTTACCAAGTTACTCCACCGTTCATTAAATCAATTAAACAGAACCAATGCAACAACTAAATGAGCAGCAGTGGAAGTGCTAGAACCTCACTGCATGTTTAGTGTAAAGATGTAATAGAAATTGTTTGTAGACCCTGTATGTTTGTGTGTCATGACTGCATCAAGAGAACTGGAGACTGCAGATGTTAGCTGTTGCATTCAAGACATGGTGGAAGAAACAAGACCTCAAGGTAAGACTGACAATAAGAGAAGAAAAGCAGGACAATAACAGAAGGTATACAAGACTAAAAGATAAAAACTACAAGAGATATTGCTTCATAAATGTTCACTGAAGTGATAAAGACTTGGCAAAAGGAAAAGGAACATTTTGCAAAAAAGCTGGCTGTTACAGTAAGGAAATAAGCAAAGAGAATTAACATTTTATATACATTTATATTTAGTCATTATGACATTAGATATATATTGTATTATTTATAATAGATATCACCTATATGATTTTAATAATTATTACTGAAGCTGAGAGTTGTGGAACCTCCCACTCTGGTGGTACTATGTTGATAGTGCCGGCTATACAAGAAACAACGCTGAAACTGTACATGCTACCACCAACACATAGTAACACTTGCTTTGTTAATAGTAGGATCAACACTAAATTTGAAATGAAGTTAGAATTACCCATTAATGAAAAGTGTTAACCTCAAAGTGCAAGCATGGATGAAGTTTTCAGATGTTGAAATTTGTGAACTGGATTCAATACTCAAATACTAGAAAATGGGTTATATTCATACTACCTTCAAATGACATGATACTTATGATGGTGCATGATTTACACATTCCTCTTCTTCTTGTTGCTGTTATTTCTCAACACAAACAGTATAATCACATAAATGAAAAAATTGATTTCTTGATTTTTCTGGGGTTTTTTCATGTGCTTTGTTTACCAAGTAACACCTTTCTACATCTTTCACCAAACTTGTCACATGGATAGTTCTAGTTGTGAACCTGTGTCGTTTGTTAGTTAGGTTTTTTAGATTTAAAAAAAAATGTCTTTTTTGAGTTTCCATGCCAACAGCTTTGACATCGACTGAACATTTTGGTTTTGTGAAGCCCATGAATTGAATTTGTGGGTTTAATTTCCAGAGAACTAAAAAACTATAACCTTTTATTCAGCTTGGTTGGTCTATGACATGTTGTAACATAATTTGATTCACTAGTCTTACGTAATTTTGGCACACCAGTGGGCACTGCAACAAATGAAACTTGAAGAGGAAAGCATTTCCCAGTACCTACCTGTACTGTGTACATCACTCTGGTGACTTAGCTGTAAAGGTTAGGGGCAACAACACCTGCCCATATAACAGTACTACATAGTATACTATCATTCATGACATTCAAAGGAACACATAGTGCAGTACACAAGGATACACACTTTTCTCTAAGCCTTCACAAAGATGATTAGAACCCTTGTTTACCATTATAGTCTTATAAATGCAGATACTTGTGCAAAGTTTTATTGAGATGCCATGCAGCAGGTCTTGTATTCAAAATGTGGGACAGTGTTATTGTCTGTATCATTTAACACTGTGATTCTTTATCTTACATTTTCTATGAAGCATTCTTTCCTGTAACTTGTCTTATGTAATTCTGACATACTTGTCTAATTTCCTCTGCACTTGATTATGACCAATGACTAGTGGTGTTCCCGATGATCGAAAATCGATTGAAAGAAGGATTAAAAATAATTATTGATTGTAAAAAAAACATATTTTCGATTAATCGGAATTTTGTTGTTTTAGTATAATACACCTGAATGAAGTAAACTAACCATTAAAATTGACTAACAGTCACGAACAAACATGCGCCCAACAGTGTAAAGCTATGCGCATTGTATTTATAGAGTCAGGATACTCATGAATGTTGGTATATATTTAATGATATAGAATAAAATAATCAAGCAATTAAAAGATGACAGTAATCATTGTAAAAACCTAACCACTTTTATTGTTTAATTACAATTCCAGTGTCTTTCTTGCAGGCGTGCATTTCATTGCATGACAGTGTTAGTTATTAATAAAAACATTAATTAGAAATTGCCTTGGGGAAAACGCTTAAAATTGGTGATTACATTAAAAGTTTATATATTTCGATTATAATGGATAAGTCCTCTGATAATCGATAGTCGATTTGGTTTCCGATTCCCAACACTACCAATGACCTGTAGTAGGTCCCAACCTTCCTCTCTGTATATCTGAAGTGTTTCTGCTCCTTAGTGGAATCCACTCCCATGCTAACTATGTACAGCACAAGACAGTTCCCTGAATGCTGATCCCACACCAGAAAGTATTGACCCACTGTAATCATGTACCAGACAGACAGATGGTTGTCGATGACTGACTTCCATTACATACCCCAGTAAACTATACTTTCTTAGAGACCATCTCTCCACTTGTATCTCTCCTTTTGAGATTGTCAGTGTCAAAGTTATGTCCAAGACAGCCAATGTCTTCCCTTGGCTAACTTGTGGTATGTTACAGACATCTTGTGTTTTGTCCTTGTTTAACTGTGTCCATTATTCCACATTTGTAATTTCCATACCATGTC